CTTTCCTCCAAACACAAGTTATCTTTTTCCTAAACACAGGTTATCTTTCCCCTGAAGTCAGGTTACCTTGCCCCCTAACACAGATTACCTTTTCCCAAACACAGTAACTTTCTCCTAAACACTGGTTACCTTACTCTGAACAATGATTACCTTATCTTAAACACAGGAGGAAAACAACAGTAAAAGAACATGTGTTGAAACTGAGAAAGGGAAAGGACAGGTACACAGCGAATGACAAGGAAGTGTGTGAAGAACTCTACAAGATATTCGAAGAGGTCTTCGCAATAGAGCAAGGAGAGATCCCTGAACTAAGAGAGGTGGCAATAAACCAGGCAGCTTTGGAAGATTTTGAAATTACCAGAGATGAGATTAGGAGGCATCTGCTGGATCTGGACACGACAAAGGCTGTTGGAACTGATAGAATTTCACCATAGATACTAAATGAGGGCACAGAAGCACTTTGCATGCCACTCTATAGTGTATAATAAATCACTGAAAACAGGAGACCTACCAGAATGTTGGAAGACAATGTAATTTCTATATATAAAATGAGTGAAAGGCAAGAGGTACTGAACTACAGGCCGGTGTCCCTAACTTGTATACTATGCAAATTGATGGAAAAGATCACGAGAACAAAATCTAGTAGCACATAACAAGACTAACCCAGGTTTACATTGTAACAACCCTTACATGGGTTTTGAGATGTTAAATCTTGCTTCACAGGTTAAATATAATTCTATGACCAGGTAACAAAAATTAAACAAGAAAGAGAATGGTGAGCAGACTGAATTTTCTTGAACTGTCAGAAAGTCCTTCATTCTACCCCAAAAGAGCCTGGTGTATAAGTTGGAAAAACATCCACTTCAGTGGATGCCACTTCACTTCCTTCACATCCATTTCACTTCACATCCACTTCAGTGGATGCCACCCTTACCCACTCCAGTGGATAAGGGAGCACCAAAGCAACAGAAAACAGAGTTACTGTGAGGAGTGAGACCTCAGAATGGCGAGATGTCACCACTGGAGTTCTGCAGGGTTCTGTAATCGTACCGTTCCTGTTTCTGTATACATACATGGTCTTCCAGAAGGTATAAACACATTCCCTTCAATGTTTGCTGGAAGGAAGTGATGTGGTGGAGGCAGACTCCATACACAGTTTCAAATGTAGATAAGAGCTCAATAGGCTCAGAAACCTGTACACCAGTTGATTGATGCTTGAGAGGTGGGACTAAGAGCCAAAGCTCAACCCAGGCAAGCACAACTAGGTGAGTACAGGTTACCTTACCCTCAACATGGATTACCTTACCTTGAGCACAGATTATCTTCTCCTGAACACAGATTGCCTTCCCCAGAACTCATTACCTTCCTCTGAACACAGATTACCCTCCCCTGAACACAGGTTACCTTCCCCTGAACACAGGTTACCTTCCCCTGAACTCATTACCTTCCTCTGAACATGGGTTACCTTACCCTGAACACGGGTTAGCTTACCCTGAACACGGGTTACCTTACCCTGAACACAGGTTAACTTTCCCATAGGTTGCCTTTCTCAGAACACAGATTACCTTTTTTTCTATTTTAGAAAATGTAATACTGTACTGTATTACAAAAATATTCAAAACTGGTTAAAAACTCTCTGGACATCAGGTGCTCAATATCACTCCAAAAAAATCATAAGGAGGGGGGCATATTAAATATCAAGTGAAATGGTTGACTTATGATTACTATATGATTGAAGATCTAATAGGAAATATATAATTGATTAACTTACTTTTTAAATTGCCTTTAATTGTGATCCCTAGATCATGGATTTTGAAAGCTAGAGTGGAGAGCACTCTGAAGTTTACTGGCTTAAGATTTTGACTTAAAAGATTCTTGGTTATACAGTATGAGTTATAATCGTACAGCGGGTATATGATAACATCAGATGATATTGTTGTACAGAAAGTTCCATTCCTAGTCTTATATATAATTAACTTGAATGGATGGTGGCAGCAACTTTCTATCTTACAACTACTCTATTACTTTCTACTCCTCCTTGATCTCATTCTCTCACTCTCATTCTAAACTTTCCCTCTCTCCTGACCACTCTTCCTCATTACTCTCTTACTCCTCTCTACCTCCCTCATCCTTTTTGTTCTTCATCCATTTTCTTTTAATTTTCTGATATGTTACATCTGAAAGGAGGTCAATGTGGCAAACCTTAAACAGCCTGTGACAGTCGCATACCATCCACGTGTCATCTTGAAAACTTGGGTGAAGCTACTAATCCCAAGCATGTGTGGCCTCCAACATTAGACACACAAACATAGACTTATTCTCCTTTATAGATATAGATTACACAAAAACTCACGAAAGCACTCATTGCTTTAATTAACTGAGCTCGTTCCTAGTGCAATTTTTTATTTAGTAATGGAAATAACTTCTGCAGTTTGTAAAAATGTTTACCAGATGTTTTTTACAAACCTGTCTACCTGTCTTTGGCAGAAGCTCATGTGTTAATTTCATGTTCTTGTTCTTCATGTTCATGAACATGAAGTTCATGTTTTTTGGGGTTCTGTATTTTGAACACGACAATTTAAGTAACATTTTGATCAAGGTCTCGGTAATACAGTTGGCTTTATTCTCGACCCACAATCAATAATCCTGGGTTCGAATCATGTGTGTGGGACAGAAATGGCATGCTTACTATCACCTAATGCCTCTGTTCACCTAGCAGTAAATAAGGTATCTGAGAGTTAGTCAACTGTTGTGGGGTTGCATCCTCTAGAAGGTCAGTAATTTGATGTGGGGGGGGGGTTGAATCCTCGATATAAGCTTAACACATATTTACACGGGCTGCCTTCCCTAACAAAATGATTTAATGAAAATTAATTATTCAATCATTTCTTACATATTATCTTTTGATACCCTTAATTTTTATAACTATGATAAGTGTTTGGTTTAGCCTAATTATGGTGATAAGAATATTATTAATGACTGTCACTAGGCTATATTGGAGGTCAATATATACTGTATACTGTACTATATTAGTATACAGTGTGTCAATATGTATAGTGTATATTTTGTTGATTCATAACAATCATTTATCAGTAAATTAGACATCCACAGAAATATTTTCTTCCCTATAAATTCATCACCATTATAATCCCATTTTCTACTCTCTCAAAGTGCCAAGGCAAGACTTGGAATCAAGAGTCGAACAGAGTAAAAAAGGATCAAACTTGCAAAAGTGGCACCTCCTCCCCACTATTTACCATTTGTTCCACAATACATACTGTAGTAGCATTAGTTAACAAATGAATGCAATTTTTGGGACAAAAAATTATGGGCGTTTGTATTTCTCTTTTTTCTGGTTAACCACTGTACTGCGTAGAGCACCCGCTCTGAGAGTTGTGCTATTTTTTTTTAATTAGGCTATATTTTAATGTGTTTTTAATGTTTTCATCACTGTTTTGAAATGAAAATGGTTGAGTTTGGAAACATTTTGACATTAACTTTGCCCGAACATTTATAAAAACAATAAAAATATGTCCTTGACAATTGCACTATAAAGTTTTTGCCGAAACCAATGCGCAGTGCGGTGGTAAAGGGTGGACCTTTTAGAATCTGATATATCTTTATCAAAGGTTATTTGGACAGTGCTCCTTCAGGAGTTGCTTTTTATTTAATAAATAACTGTTGTTAAGTAGATATTGTTTTTCTTCTTTACACTAGGTTATTATATGGTGTCTAAATGAATTACGCATTTCATTTTCTCAAGGTGGCGGTTAGAAGGTAAATACATTTGTATCAGGTATGCTACTATACTTCGCAGCTTGTTCCATCAGACCTTGAGCCTTTTTTTTACTTATGAATTGCTTGTAATCACATTTAGCTCAGTAACCCTGGCCAAAAATGAATGCATCTGCAAACATTTCATAGTTATGCATTAAATTTTCAGTTAAAGACAATACTAACAGTTCTTTGAGGCCATTTCTCTTGTATGATGCAACTTGCCCTAACTCATATACTTTTCACTTTGTTATTCCTTCAGACTAATAATATTGTTATATAATTACCTTTTTTTTTAACCCAAAATTTATCTAATTCATGCAAAGTCAGTGTCATTATCAAGGTCTGTAGAAATATGAATCTGCGTAGTAATCAAAATATTTTAGAAATTACTGTATTGTAATAAGCATGGGCTATAGATAATATGCATGAGTTTGTTCAGCAGATTTATAGTTATTGGAGTTACAAGTAAACTTGTTTCCAATATTGCACGTCATTTGCAGTTGTTGACTTCATGAATTTTCATAAGCTGGAGTATTTGTAATTTTATTTAATGTTAGTTCAGTACTGCATGAATAAAGATGCATACAGTAGTTTATGGATGTGTTTTATTTATATATTTGTTCTAGATATTTTATCAAACAAAAATGTTTACTTCTCTCCACTCTAGGTAAGGTAGTAATTTATTTATACAGTATAATAAATTGACAAAACACTTCTTTTCTGCATGTTTGTTTTGCATCATTTTCCATTGTACATATTCTTGCCAAAAACTGGCCCTGCTACTCTGTCGTTTTATATCACATGCTAATTGACGCTGTTAGATTATATAGATATTTTGATATTGAGTCCTTGCTATAATTTGTTTTGCTTGAAATGTTTACATTGTTGTTATTTTAGTCAATTTTGTGTTTGTTTATTAACATGCAAGTAAAACATATATGTATTGTATTGCAGTGTCTTCATTGTGATTGATTCATTTATAATCTTTTGCTTTGTTCTTAAAACAAAGAAAAAAGATTAAACATTATAATAGTCCTTTTACTTAAAGTAACAAATTAGCTACTTCTTTGAATATAAAAAATATATTTATTGATTTTTTAACTGTTAAGTACAGTACTTCACCAGCAAGTCTAAAATCTTTGATGATTGATTATATTAAAATATATTACCTGTACAATATACAGATTTCTTCTGCCTTTATTAATGCTTGTCATAAACCTTAGGAAGAGGATGAAGACGACCCACCGAGCAGTGGTAGTGATGGTATCCGTTTGCAACTTACTTCCAGTCTTGATGGCCCTCCGTTACTCACTCCAATATCCCAGGTGAGAGATCACATAGTACTATGTTTGCATGTGTAACCAGTGGGACAATGCAGGACAGAGCTAAGAACCTCAGTCAGTGTCACAAGGAATGTGTAGTGTGTCATGAGAAACATGGTAATTACCTAAGTGTAGTTACAGGCTACGCTCGTGGTGTCCCAATTTCCCAGCACTCTTTGTCATATAACGCTTTGAAACTATTGACGGTTTAGGCCTCCACCACCTTCTCACCAACTTGTTCCAACTATCTACCACTCTGTTTACAAAAGTATATTTTCTTATATTTCTCCGGCAGCTTTGTTTCGTTTGTTTCAATCTTGTTCCTGAAGCTTGTAATCTCTTGTTCTTGAAGTTCCAGGTCTCAGGAATTCTTTGCTGTCAATTTTATTGATTCCTGTTACTATTTTGTATGTAGTGATCATATCGCCTCTTTTTCTTCTATCTTCTAGTTTTTGCATATTTAATACCTCTAACCTCTCCTCATAGCTCTTGTCCTTCAGTTTTGGGCGCTACTTAGTAGCATGTCTTTGCATCTTTTCCAGTTTGTTGATGTGCTTCTTAAGATATGGGCAACATACAACAGCTGCATATTGCAACTTTGGTCTAACAAAAGTCGTGAACAATTTCTTTAGTATTTCTCCATCCATGTATTTAAAAGCAATTCTGAAGTTAAAAAGTGTAGCATAGGCTCCTCACACAATGTTCTTAATGTGGTCCTCAAGTGACAGTTTTCTGTCTAGAACCACCTCTAAATCCCTTTGTCAAAATTCTTTAACGGTAGATTCTTTCTTTGGCCAGTGTTCTCAATACTTATTTTCGTCGAGTGCTTACCCACTGCTCCGAATGGAGCAACGTGAGTAGAGAGTTTGAAAGAATAACACAGGTATTGGTGAACAATGGATATAACAACACGGAAATAAACGCTGCTATAAGAAGACACTTGGACCGATGGTATAATCCTGAACCTAGAACAGAAACCACAATACCCCCAATAAAATTATATTACAAATCAACCATGCACAGTGAACATAAAAAAAGAGGAAAGAATAATGAAAGAAATAATCCGTAAAGGAGTAAAAAGCATTACTCCTAACAAAAACATAGACCTGATCATATTCTACAAAACCAAGAAGACTTCCGAACTCCTTATCAAAAACAGCCCGAAGCCGACGGAGAACCCTCTACAGCAGTTAAGCGTTGTATACATGTACACTTGCCCCAATGAAGGATGTAACCTTCAATCTAAGTACATAGGTATGACGTCAACCAAGCTGACGAGGCGTTTGACATGTCATCTTCAATCCGGCGCCCCCAGGAATCACATGAGACAAGCTCATGACATCACCCTAACAAGAGAAATGTTGAACAAAAATACCTGTATAATAGACAAAACCCAAGATGCAAGAAGATTACAAATTCTTGAAGCAATTCAGATAAGAATAGAAAAACCTACCATGAACACCCAAATCACAGAACTATTTACTCTACCCACCATGAGAGTAAGGACAAGACTAGAGCATAACGATGCCAACACACAAGACACTGTTCAACATAATAGGCCAATTACACCTGATTAATCTTTGTATGTAGATAGGAGCTGCCTCGTATGGGCCAATAGGCCTTCCGCAGTTACCTTTATTCTTATGTGCTTCATCCCCCATTTATCCCTTATGTATTCCCCATGTTTTTACCTTTATTGTCTTATCACCTGACCCACTGCGGGTATAAATCAACCAGTTCTGAAAATTCTTTTCACTTAAGAATGAACCATGGAGGTTCGAAACGTTGTGCAAATTGTATAAATAAGTGTAATACATTCTATAGTAATTCACTTTTTTCTTCACCTTGAAATTACGAAAATGAGTTTTGGAGAACTCCTCTTTCAACTAAGCCCTGATGCTAAGAAAATGGTTAGAGGGATAGAAGCCCTAAATCAGAAGATAGTAAATACAGAATATGCGGTCATATTCAATGAGATAGATAGATATATATATATATATATATATATATATATATATATATATATATATATATATATATATGTATGTATGTATGTATGTATGTATGTATGTATGTATGTATGTTTATATCTTTATAAATAAAATTCACTGGGGTTTAAGCATTTGTATTCATGTGCATCAAGCTGATGTAATTGCCAACTGTAACGTTTTTTAATTAACTATTTAATATCAGTTTATCTTTAATTAAAATTTAATAGGAAATAAGACTGCAAGTTGAACAGACATTTGAACAAAACTCAAGTGATCATCCCTGATCATGCAAGTGAGAAAGTATTGAAGACTAGTAGCAAGAAGCAACCAAGAAGATTTGTTTGCATCTTGGTAAAATTATTGTATGTTGAATATAATATGAATGTCACAAAAATTTATAATATATTTTGGTTCACAGGCTCGACAGTGTCAGCTCTGTTATGTAACACTTGCAAATGCAAATCTCCTTCGTCGCCATGTAGAAGATCACCATTTCCACATACGCAAGTATGATTGTGTTCATTGTGGGAAAAAGTTCAAGAGGAAAGAACACAAAGAAAGGCATGAGAGAATTCATACAGGGGAAAAACCATTTGTGTGTCATATATGCAATGCCAGGTAAGTTCCTTTAATATTACAAAAGTTAATATCAATACAGTACTAAATAGTTAAATTACCTAAGTTTAATAGATTTACGTTGTGCTCTATGATGTATACTGTATTTATAAGTGAGAATGTCTGTATGTGGCGCCTGACAGCTGGAAAATATGTAAAAGATCTGGGAATTATGGTGTCTGACAACCTAATATTTAGTGAACACAAGCAAGCAAATATAGCATCAGCCAGGAAAATGATAGAATGGATTATGAGAATGTTCAAATGCAGGGATCCCACAGCATTGCTAATACAGTACAGTATTTAAATCACTGGTGCTGTCCTATCTGGAGTACTGCTCGGTACTCACTTCCTGTTTCAGAGCGGGAAAGATTGCTGAAATAGAGGGAATACAGAGAACATATAGGGCACACATAGCTACCTTGTCTACCTTGAGTTGGTTTCGGGGCTTAGTGTCCATGCAGCCCAGTCATTGCCCAGGCCTTCTCGTTGCTGGACTGGTCAACCAGGCTATTGGATGCAACTGCTCGCAGGCTGACGTACAAGTCACAGCCTGGTTGATCAGGTATCCTTTGGATGTGTTTATCGAGTTCTCTCTTGAACACTGCAAGGGGTCGGCCAGTTATGCCCCTTATGTGTAGTGGAAGCGTGTTGAACAGTCTCAGGCCTCTGATGTTGATAGAGTTCTCTCTCTCAGGGTACCTATTGCACCTCTGCTCTTCAACAGGGGTATGCTGCATATCCTGTCAAGCCTCCTGGTCTCATGTGGTGTTATTTCTGTGTTCAGGTTTGGGACCAGCCCCACTATTATTTTCCATGTGCTGAGATGAAGCACCTAAATTATTGGGACTATCTCAAAGCTCTCAAAATGTACTCTCTGAAAATATATACATGGAAGATACTGGAAGGCCAGGTCTCAAATTTTCACAATAGAATAACAATATATTGGAGCAAAAGATATGAAAGGAGTAGAGGTGCCATAGGCACAATCAGCACTGTATGAACATCAGAAGTCCATGGCTATTCAATACTCTCCCAGCAAGCATTATAAATATTGCCAGAACAGAGGTGGACTTCCTCAAGAAACAACTAGATAAGTTCTTGCATGAAGTGCCAGACCAACTGGATTGTAGTGGATATGTGGGTCTGTAGGCTATTCTAAGCAACAGTCTGTTGGACCAAGTTATTGCCTGGCCTGGGGCCAGGCTCAGGAAGTAGAAGAACTCCTAAAAACCATAAACATCTGGCAGAGAGTAAAGAAGGCAGTAGGATCAGACCTGATTTCAGCTTAGATATTAGACAATTTTATTTACTGTTTCTGCTAGCAGTTCCCAGTTTATTTTGCCAACAGTGCTCAACCTATGAATGGTAGTGCAAAATAATTACAAAAGAAACAAAGGTCTTGATCAAAGTCCACTAGCTGTTGTGTGACATTAGCATTTACCATTTATTTGTACACCCTGAATCATACTGAGGCAACAGTACTATTCCATTTTCATTGAGTCCCTAAAAATACTGAAGATTGATAACCCAAATGAATTCTTCATAAATGTGATACATCAAATTATATATCAGATGTCACCCTAACTCCACTTGATTTTGAAGTAGACATAAACAGTACAGTATGCCTATGCACTCTGCACCAGGCCCTGATTTCTGGAACTTGATATTCATTAAGAATTGTAAAAAAAAACTATCGCAGCCCTTAAAAAATTTTTAGAGATGAAGCTTAGATAATGGCGTTATCCCTAACATACTAAAAACAGCAGAGATAGCACCACTCCATAAAGGAGGGAATAAAACAGAGGCAAAAACAATAAGCCAATAGCACTAACATCACACATCATAAAATCTTTGAAAAAGTGATAAAAAGTAAGATCACAAAACACATGGAATCACTGCAGTCCATAACCCTTAACAACAAGGTTTCAGAACAGGGCGCTCTTGCCTATCACACTTGTTGGACCACTATGACATGGCCTTAAATGCCATGGAAGACAAACAAAACGTTGACAAACAGTAATATACAGATTTCGCAAAAGCCTTTGACAAATGTGATCTTGGTGTTATTGCGCACAAAATACATTGAAAAGGAATTACTAGAAAATTAGGAAAATGTATCTACAATTTCTTAACTAACAGAACCCAATGCGTAATATTAAAGAAAAATGTAATAAAGCCGGACCATCAACCGTGAAGAGCTCAGTCCCACAGTAACCTTGCTCCAGTACTCTTTTTCATTCTCATATCGAACATAGACAAGGACACAAACTATAGTACTGTATCATCTTTTGTTAATGACACTAGGATTGCTATGAGAGTAGAAAATATAGAGGACATAGCAAACCTCCAGTCTGATGTCTGTTAGGGGGCCTCGTAGCCTGGTGGATAGCGCGCAGGACTCGTAATTCTGTGGCGCGGGTTCGATTCCCGCACGAGGCAGAAACAAATGGGCAAAGTTTCTTTCACCCTAAATGCCCCTGTTACCTAGCAGTAAATAGGTACCTGGGAGTTAGTCAGCTGTCACGGGCTGCTTCCTGGGGGTGGAGGCCTGGCCGAGGACCGGGCCGCGGGGACACTAAAGCCCCAAAATCATCTCAAGATAACCTCAAGATGTAAATTGGGGCTTTCAATAAGCCACATAAAATAATAAGGTGTTTAAGGAAGATAAGTTCCAGTTCGTATACTGTGGACAAAAATCAGATATATAAAAACAGAAACCATGTACAAAACAATCAAATCATACCATAGAACATGAAAGCAGTGTTAAGGATTTGGGTGTAATTATGTCAGAAGACCTTATCATTAAAGCTGATTTTTTTTGGGGGGGGGAGCCCCTACGGTTTATCCCCCTGCGCTGCCTGTACCCGAAGATGATCATTCACAGATTGGGTAAATTGAGTCACCAGCAAGCAGCAAAACTCACAGGACTCTGGGTCGAAAGTGTCATAGACCCAACAGGCAGCATGACGGAGGCAAAAACAGTGAGGGGTCACCCATAGACAAGGGGACCAAGCATTCCTCAAACTCGCATGAAGCGAGGGGGGGGGGGGGACTCCAGGGGTCACATTCATCGGACCCACGTGATCCCTAGGGGATTCTCAGGATCCTGAGCGTTTACTTGAAAAGGACTGGCGCCCAGGTAAGTCCAGGCAGGGTACTGCTAACCGACACCCAAAACTACCAAACAACTGTCTACAGCTGAACCCCAGGGACGTGTACACTCACAGGGACCTAGCAGGGGACACCACCGAGCATCAGGATGAGGCCAAACACCAGTGGCAAGTAGGACAGAACCCCCTACCCAGGCAAAAATAAAAATAAAAACAAAACCCCGCAAGAGGACAACGTACCCCAAGGAACAGAGCCAGCCACTGTGATTGGTGACAACAAGCTGCGCAGCACCCTGCGCCCCTTACCAGTGCAAAACTGCCTCTTACCCTAAGGTAAACTAGGGAGACAAAACATCCAAGTACCCAAAGGGCGGCCGAAAAACCGAGCAGTGAATGGACCACAGAGGCAGATCCCAAGGAACTTGTAGAAGGTACCAAGCACCAATGGTAGTACTTACAGGGCAACTAGGGAAGATAACCCCAAGCGCATGCAGCCCGAGTACTGAAGAGGAACTCCTGGCTCTCACACCCCTGGAGAACAGATGCCACACACAGAGCACAGCTCTGTAAAAGTCTGGAGCCAGAGAGCTGATGCTGCCTATAGGCCAGCACGAGGGGTCTGGGACTCCCCCTTCCCCCTCCTGGGGAGGGGGGGAGCTGTGCAGATGACGGCGCGGCGACGGGTGACGTCATACTAGTTTGCTCGTTTTTGTTTGAGGTGTTCTATCCACTTGTTCAGCTTTTGGTTGCAATTTTCACCAGAATTGGGGTTTGTTTTGGAACGCTTACCTTTCTGGATGCCTAACCCAGTCGATGGCAGACATAGAATGCTTCCAACCACACGGGAGGGGTTTCTATAGGCCATTACTTCCCTTGCCTCTTTAGAGGGGCCAGGTTCTGGCTCGTGGTCCCTGGTAGGCCCAAAGAACTCCATACACATGACTGATGCCCAAGTCTGACATTAGCATATCAGCCTAGTAAGCTCCGGGGAGCCTCTGGGACTCGCCCAGAAAATGGCGTTTCATTACATTCAACGCTGGTTTTTTCAAAAGTAGGACCATGACCCCCTAATGGTGATATATGAACCAGGCCCATCAACTTTCACATGCCCAAAATTCTTTCTGTACCTGAAGATTTTTCATGATGGGAAGCCATTATAATAAATAATTAAGAAAACATGATCTGATAACCATTTTCAAAATCAAATTTCCAGCACATCCACCAGCCAAATTCAAATCACGTAATCTTGAGGTTATCTTGAGATGATTTCGGGGTTTTAGTGTCCCCGCGGCCCGGTCCTCGACCAGGCCTCCACCCCTAGGAAGCAGCCCTTGACAGCTGACTAACTCCCAGGTACCTATTTACTGCTAGGTAACAGGGGCATAGGGTGAAAGAAACTCTGCCCATTGTTTCTCGCCGGCGCCTAGGATCGATCCCGGGACCACAGGATCACAAGTCCAGTGTGCTGTCCGCTCGGCCGACCGGCTCCGTCACCACCACTAAAAGAAAATAATTAAAATTCCAAAATGAAAACCAGTCATACAATTTCTTCCAAAATTGCCCAGTCCAATTCCCCACATCCCAAATTTTATTTTAGTCAAGTTTTTCATAGTGTTTTGTATTAACTATATAAGAAACTTTAATGTGCACAAAAATCATTTTGAGGCAATGAAGCAACTTAAACCAGCATTCTGGTGATTCATGCCCCACATCAGAGCGTGTAAGAGTGTGAACGCCATTACCGTAGGCCAGTGTGGCAGGGTCGGCTGTAAAACCCTAGTTGGGCTCCATTTTGGGGCCCTCCAGAACCTAGCAGTGAATGCAAGTAGCATTCCAGGTTGGTCGACTTTTGTGGCATCGTGGCCGAGTCAGTTAAGGTCCGATGTCAGGGAATCATCAGAACGCTGGTTCAAGTCACTCCATTGCCTCAAAATGATTTTCCTATCACGCCACTGTGATTCCATTGCAATTTAATGTGCAGGTTTAGTGTTTGATACTTCTTCCTTAAATGCTGCTTTACTTTAGACTAATACAATTAGTAGGACTAATACAATTAGTCCTACTTTAGTACCATTTATATTTTACTGTTTAACCACACAATTTACCCTATTAATAAAGCTCATATATAACCAAATTTTCTTCACAGATTCACACAAAAAGAACATCTGAAAGGCCATATTGAGAATGTTCATCTGAAGCATGGCGAAAAAGGCCTTGAAGGCTTAGTAGATTTTGACAGAGATACGGATGACCAAGATGACAAAGAAGAGGATGACTTGGACATATTGGCCTCAGCAACCTCCCCTCCTCCCACCTCCTCTTCACCATCCCTTGCCCCACTTTCATCACTCATATCTTTGGCATCTACTGGTTCACCATTGATACCCATCTTACCTAAACCCATCCTACCTAAACCCATCTTACCTAAACCTACTCTTCTTTCCAGTGCTGCTTCTATTCTACCCACACCAACTCTCCTCTCCAGTACTGCCTCCGTCTTGGCAACTACATCCACAAATCTGGTAACACCTACCACAACCTTATCATCATCCATCTCCTCCCCAGCATTAATTCCTACTTCATTCGTCAATGATCTCAATATGAATCAGTTCACAGCTCTTTATGCACCAGTTACTCGAAAGACGGTGAATTCACCAAATAAACACATGCAAACTATCACTATCAATTTTAATTAGTGCCAATTAGTCAATATTTGCAATTATTTTTCATTTTCCTAATTTCATTTTACAGTCACTGCCATTAGTAATCATGATCTTTCATTGTCATGTCAGTGTTATTATATAAGCTTGGCATAATTTTACATATTGTTTCCCTCATGCCCTGTCATGCACTGTAATTTTGGCTAGGGACTTTTACAATTTCCTACAATGAATAACAGTGTTACTATTAGCAATTAAACTCATATTCAACATGTGACTCAATGCCATTTTCAAAACAGAGCAATGTGAATTAGACTTTAAAACTATTTGGCTCAACTTCACCAGTAATTTTCTAATAATTGAGAATTGTATTTTGGTTATAATCATTTTGGCTCAAACAAGAATAAAACTATTTTAATTTAACCATCAAGAGTATTTGGTTGATAATTGAATGCCATAAAGTGTAAAGGTGAGACAAAACACACAACAAAAAGACGTACTTTATCTGAAATCATTCCATAATAAGTGCCTTGGATTACTAATTTCCTATGTTACTTAGTTCTACCTGAAAAGTGCTGGCTTGGTGCCTTAGCATGCAGATCTGTGATATTACTCTTTTCAGTACTTATGATACCATGTTCGTTTATTGAGGGTTGATTTTGAAACGATTAAGAATTGAGATTAGGAAAAGAATTGTTTGGATGTACAGTATTTGAAAGGTGATATTTGTTACAGCAATCTTGTGGAAATCCCATTTTTGCTCTGATACTGATTTTCAAAGTGAGTAATAATCCCACCATTTCTCTTGTATGTTGTTCAGAGGGGGGGGTATTGTGGTTTGAAAAAGGTCAGTAACACTTACATATATGATGACCAATCTTTGGCAGTAAGTTTAATTATTTGCATTATTAAATATAAAGCTGATTGCAGTAACAAATTCAGTCCAAATTTGGACTACAGTACTTCTCACTGAAAATGTTGCTACTCTTTCAAATTTGTTGAAATGTAGTTTGAATATTATGTGAGTTTATTTGTGAGCATTGATAAGTATTGACCAAAAGAATTTGCCCTAATTTTAAGTCATTGTTAGATTGTCATCATAAGAGAAATTTAGATTTGGCTAAAGTGCCTTTAGGCTTAGAATGATTTACACTATAATTGAAAGCATGCCCAGGAGGTTAATAAATCTCCTAAACAAAAGTTTAATTATTATACTGTATTTTTGGAAAATGTTGCAATTTCCATCAAGTTTAATTTCCAAGGATGATCAAGGTCAGGTACCTGGGAGTTGCATCTTCTCTAAACTGGCTTAACTCTTGACTACACTGAACATGTAATTGTAATAAAATAATAATATTATGCTCAAAAATGTATGTTAAGTCAAAATCAGTTTTCAAAACATGTTGCCTCTAACAAAGTGCTATTATTATAATATATATATATATATATATATATATATATATATATTTTATTAAATATGACCGAAAAAGTAAGATTAATAATTCTAACACGAATTTTCTCAATCTTTCGTACATTATGCTTCACTGTTGGAGGTAAATCAAAAATCACTTCTCCAAAATTCATTTTTATTTCTAGTCTGACGCGACACGGGCGCGTTTCGTAAAACTTATTACATTTTCAAAGACTTCACAAATACACAACTGATTAGAACTTGCGTTTCCCTGATTTTATATCTACATTTGAGTGAGGTGGGAAGGGTGATGTGGCATTACATTTGAGTGAGGTGGGAAGGATGATGTGGCATTAGAGGATATTAATAGGGTATTAAAAGTATCAACACAAGACAGAACACGAAACAATGGATATTGAATAGAAGTGTTTGTAGAAAGCCTATTGGTCCATATTTCTTGATGCTTCTATATTGGAGCGGAGTCTTGAGGTGGGTAGAATATAGTTGTGCAATAATTGGCTGTTGATTGCTGGTGTTGACTTCTTGATGTGTAGTGCCTCGCAAACGTCAAGCCGCCTGCTATCGCTGTATCTATCGATGATTTCTGTGTTGTTTACTAGGATTTCTCTGGCGATGGTTTGGTTATGGGAAGAGATAATCTCTATATATATATATGCATATAATCTCTTCCCATAACCAAACCATCGCCAGAGAAATCCTAGTAAACAACACAGAAATCATCGATAGATACAGCGATAGCAGGCGGCTTGACGTTTGCGAGGCACTACACATCAAGAAGTCAACACCAGCAATCAACAGCCAATTATTGCACAACTATATTCTACCCACCTCAAGACTCCGCTCCAATATAGAAGCATCAAGAAATATGGACCAATAGGCTTTCTACAAACACTTCTATTCAATATCCATTGTTTCGTGTTCTGTCTTGTGTTGATACTTTTAATACCCTATTAATATCCTCTAATGCCACATCATCCTTCCCACCTCACTCAAATGTAATGCCACATCACCCTTCCCACCTCACTCAAATGTAGATATAAAATCAGGGAAACGCAAGTTCTAATCAGTTGTGTATTTGTGAAGTCTTTGAAAATGTAATAAGTTTTACGAAACGCGCCCGTGTCGCGTCAGACTAGAAATAAAAATGAATTTTGGAGAAGTGATTTTTGATTTACCTCCAACAGTGAAGCATAATGTACGAAAGATTGAGAAAATTCGTGTTAGAATTATTAATCTTACTTTTTCGGTCATATTTAATAAAATATGTCTACAGGAAAGACTGCTACCAAAATATATATATATATATATATATATATATATATATATATATATATATATATATATATATATATATATATATATATATATATATATAATATAATAATTTTTTTTTTTGCCACTGACTTCTTCCAGGCAGAATAGCTTAGCTTTACCTGGGCATTATTTAATATTGCTCACATTAGTCTCAGACATTTAATTTCATCACATTCAATCTAATCAGTTCATATTTTCATCTTTAGAATAAACCTTTTGTCAGTACTTTGCATTTTGCACTTCATTCACAACGAGCTGTTAATGGAAGTGGTTGTGTTGTTGGCAAGAGTGAAGAAAGAGCTTCCACACTTAATTAATGTGATGCCAGTGACTTTCTATTTGCTTCCATGTAGAGTAGTGCCAATCTTTAGGAACCAAAATTTCCCAAGTTATGCTCAAGCAGTTATTTCAAATGAGAAGTTATAACAAATCCATATGCACAATGGAAACGGATAAAAGTTCGATTCTGACAAATTTCCAAAAAGTTAAAAGCATTTGAGTTGAAGGTTTGTCCTAATGATTGAAATGAAATGATTAGTTTTCAAAATTTGTCTTTAGAGATATTTTAATAGACAGGAAATATAATATCATGTTGTATAAATATTTACTGTAATTACAAGTATCAACTTTTTTAATCCACATTGTCACAAGTTTGACTGTATCTTGAGTATACATGAATTAGAGCCAGTAGTTATACAAGTATGCAAGCATTGGACAAGTTAGATTTAAGAGATGCTCAACAATAACTAGAGTAAAATTTCAACCATTGACTACTCTTAGCTCTATTATTACTTATTATTTGTGAGTGATAAACCAGGTCAGGTGCCAGAGGCAGCGACTGTTACAAACTGCTCACCTGACTAGGGTTATCAATTATTTGTTTATAATTAATTATAAGAATTAGATGCTGTACAAAACTGTTTACATTGTATCCACAATCTCCTAAATGGATACATTTCAAGTTGCCAATAACTTTTATATTCCTTTCCTTTGTAGGTGAATTTAGAGGATATTCCAGTTGATTTGGTTTTAAGTCTATGAAGACATCCTATTAAAAAGTGTGTTAAGAATGAGTGTTCTGTGCTTACAGATAATTCCCACCTGTATCTTTATATGTTGATTTTTTATATATTTTGTGTATTGCCTGTTCCTTTATCTTACCAGATTTATATTGCTTTGTCACAAGCAGTCATTTGAGTGATATATATTCTAGCATATGAATGGGATGATTCATTTTATAAATGTGCACACATTGGCACAAAAAAGTCTCCAGCTT